GGAGCCCCCAAACCAGTCTGTGCCTTCCAGATCCCCGGTAAAAGCAGCCATGCTGCAGAAAGTCATTTCACGTTCTCTGATGCTGCCAATGACTGATGCCATCCGCCTAGGATACCTCAAGGGCCAAGTGAGAGGTGGGGCAATAGTTGTGGGGTATGTGGAGGAGGGCAAGTTTCTTTGGAATAGGAGTTTTCGGGGAAGGTTTCGCTGAAGCAAGTGGACGTTGAGCCAGGACTTGGCAGTGGGCTGAAGTATGATGGGCAGTAAAAAGGCTGGTTTCCATGTCAGGCATGCAGGTAGGCGAGGAAAATGTGGAAGTTGGAACTGCACTGAGAGGCCTTGAATGCTAGCTCCAAGGAGTTGTAGTCCAGACACTCCAGCTCTTAGCTCTCCCCCTGCATGGTCTCAGACTATTGGAGGGTTCTGCTGTAGAAAGCAGCAGGTCTTTAGGAATGTCACCAACATTGCTCATCAGTTCTGAACTTGGATGCAGAGCAGGAGTCTTGCCATTCCTCAGCACAGGCGAATATTGGATGCTTTCCTTTCTAGTCAAGTACTGCCTATCTTTTTCTCTCAACTAAGGATTATTGTGGGAAAAAAAGAAGAAGAAAACATTGTTGTAGTCTTTCCTCAAGCTAGAGGTTCTTAAGAGTAGTCTGACCTCTTACCATTCTAGATTTATTCTAGATACAGTGTTTGTGCTTGCTTTATCTTTTGCTTACCCACACAGCACTTCAGTTCTTTCAGTACTGACAAGAGTCAAATAGAAATGACAGGAATTTGTCTCTTGCAGAGGCAGTATTAAACCCCCAGCTCCTAGCCAAGTGCTTCCTAACATGTTCATGTCAAGACATACATAAAAAAGATTTGTAGAGCAGACTGGGGTAGATGGATGAGGTTGGTTTGGGCTGACAGCCCCAGGTTCTGTCTGGGAGTCCCCGAGGACCCCAAGGGCCATGAGGGGCTTTGTATTCCTTACCTACCTAGAAACCAGGCTCACCTATAAATCATTCTTGGCACAAAGTAGGGAAGTAGAGGTGCCCATAGTATTGCCTGGTGAGCTATAGTAAAGACTTAGTAAACATTTACTAAATTTGTTGACTGAATTAAATAGCAATTTAGAAATAATGAATTTTACATCTGGCTGTGTATTTAGAGATGAGAGAGAATATGAATGATTTCTCCTGCCTTCCAAACTTAGAAGCAACTGATAGTCAGTCAATAGGACCCACCTAGTCATCTGGCATTTATATTTGGTTGTTGTATGGGAAGTTTGATTTTTGAGATTTTAAATCAGGTAATGTTATTTTCTCCTTTCCTTTCCTCTCCTTTCCTCTTTTTTTGGAGAGATGTCTCACTATATTGCCCAGGCTGGTCTCAAACTCCTGTCCTTGAGTTATCCTCCCACCTCGGCCTCCCAAAGTGCTAGGATTACAGGCATGAGCCACCACATCAAGTGATAATAATGAAAAGTGTAGGTTTAAACAAGAATTTAGAGCAGTGGTTCTCAGCTCTAGCCACATGTTAGAACCATTTGGGGAAAGATTTCTTTGTAATTGATCTAGGGTACTGCTTGAGCAATGGTTTTGTGTTTATTGTTTGGATTTTGTTTTGTGTTGGGAAAAAAAACCTCGAACTTGCAGAGTTTGAATCCGTATGATTTAAAAAAGACCCCCCCAGTCATTTGAGAATAAACTGCTGACCCAGTGTCACCTGTAGTCCTTTCACTAACAGTGTAGTGTATTTCTAGCAAAAAGAACATTCTTCTTTAGAACCACAGTATAACCATGAAAGGAAAAAATTAATGCTGACATATTACTATCTCTTACTCTTCGGCTCCATTAAAGGTGTGATGTTCTCCTTTATATAGCCCAAGGAGGCCCACAGGGGGCGTCTGGTTGTTATGTCTCTTTAGTCTCCTTCCATTTGAAACAGTTCTCATTCTTTCCTTGACTTTCATGGGCTTGAAACTTTTTAAGATTGCAGGCCAGTCATTCTGTAGAATGCCTGTCAACATGGAGTTGTCTGATGTTTCCTTGTGATGGTATTCAGTTTGTATGCCTTTGAAAAGAGTATCACAGAAGTGATTCTGTGTTCTTCTTTCAGCATCCTGTCAAGTAACTCAGTTTCAATTTGTTCCATTGCTAATGAAGTTCACGTGGATTCCTTGATGAAGGCGGTACATGCTAGTCTTCTCCTTTGTATAATTACTCTTTTCTCTTTTATGATTAATAAGTATTTTATGGAGAGGTGCTTTGAAACTATGTGAATATTCCATTCCTCAGCACTTTCAATTTGTTCATTTACTTATTTCTCTTTGTATGGACTCATGTTTTCCTATTTTATACAATGGCTTATAATTTCTTACATTTATTTTGATACTCATGTTGTTCCAGATTTAGCTTGTAGGAGCCCCTTCAAACTGTCTCTGTAACCATTTGACATATCCCATCGTTGTTTGAGCACTCCCTTACTTCTTGGCAAACATACATTTCAGGTTCATCTAGTACTTTTTTTTACCCTACCCTCCAAATTAGCTCTTTTTCCAAAGAACTCTGGTTTGTTTAGTGACAAATGTTATTTAGGAGCCACAAAACTGGATGCTAAATGTGTTCATTGCTATCTGGATGTTGCTTGTTCTGTAGCCTTTGCAGAGAGAGACTCAGCTAAGGATTTTTAAAAGTTCCCCAAATGATGCTAATGTGCAGCCTTAAAAGAGAGTACAAATGAATTTGAAGAAAGGTGAATCCCACACTATTCAATTCATTGTTAAGTAAATGGCAAGTTTTTAAGTCAAGTTTGGCAAAGTAAATTCTCCCTAAGGGAGTAAAAGTTAAAGTGAAGACTAAATTCTACCCAGATCCATGTTAAAAAAAAAAAAAACAGGGTGAAAGCACAGACTGTCTCCTGGAAAGCTTTGAAAAATATTTGTTTTGGAAATAAATCCACTTCTAGTAAGCATGAATTTCTATCTCTTTCCCTGAATTACCTGTTTATAGGGAAAATATTTGAAAAGGTTAGTTGTTTTTTAAGAATGTCTCTCATTAAAACTTACTGCTTTTTTTCCATTATATATATATTTTTTAAAGAAACTTCTAATTTTAGAATAATTTTAGATTTAGGAAAAAAGGCAACTTAATGCTTTTTTTCTTTAAAGCACCGAATATTTAAACAGATATGTAGGCTGTGGTTGCCTAAATATCCTTTTCTGTAGTTAGTTTCACTATAAAATGCAGAAGCCAAATTACAGCAATTGGGCATGAGAGACCCCCTTCTCTCTCCACTTGCAGCCAGAGGAAACAAGAGGCTCTTAGAGCCAAATATAACAGGATCGGTGGCCAGCCTACCTTAGATGGTCAACGTCCATCTTGCCAGTTTTTGTAAATCCATTTTCTTAAAGCAGTACACTGCTGCAAGTGGATTTTCTCCAGGAGCTTCATACCTAGACAGATGTACACGTAATCTGACTCCAGAGAAATCCGGCATTAGACCTAAGGAATTTTCAATAAAATCTCATCCTAGATTGTGTGAATTTTGCATATTAGGCTTTTGTATATTTATGCCCAGAGGTGCAGAAGGAGAAAGGCTAGTATTTGTGAATGTGGACAAAGTCAGTGACAACTTAACATGTAGGTAAAATAACTTTTAAAATTTTCGTTTTCTATAAATAAAAGGTTAATTACCTATTCAGGAGAGCCCGCCTCAGTTTTGGTCCTTATTCCATTCCCTTTTGTGTGGGTTGAATGTATTAAACTAGATCTCTACTACCCAAACTTGAGTCCTTTAGGAACCATCTTTGTGATTTTTTGCCTTGTTTGCAAACCTATTGTTTACTTAGCATTTTTCTTTAATTTGACTCGCCTCGCCCCCCTCCCCCGCCCCCCTCCAGACAGGGTCTCACTCCGATGCCCAGGCTGGAGTGCAGTGGTCCTGTCAGAGCTCCCTGGCATTATGGGCATGAGCCACCTCACTCAGCCTAATTTGACTCACTTTTAACTTGGCCTTAATCTAGGTGATATCTGTGAAACTGGGGATTTGTTATATTGATCACTTAAAATCATAAGTACTGCAGGCATTATCTGTTCAGTACTCTGGGGACCTGAGAATTAGATCTCTGTTTCTAGCTCTGAAATTCAATAAACATCCAGTCTGGAGGTTATACCTTGAGCTTTGAAGTGACACTAGGTGGTTGCTCATATGGTTTATCTCAGTTGATACACAGAGTAAAAATTGGTGGCATTAGAATAAATGTTCCATTTCAGAGTCATTTTTGAAATGTGAGGTATAAATTATATCATCTTAATTTTTTAATATTCATACATTTGTTCAGTTAGTATGTTTATTATTGTGTATCTTTTTATTGTAATTGAATGAAGCAAAACCTGATTGTCTTAATTTAGGTGCATGGGAGGATGCAATTGTGCACTCAATGGGGACTACATTGATTTATAGGCTCTCAGTAACTGCCTTAAAACACAAGTAAAAATATGTGAAACATGTAGTATTAATAAATGTAGGGGAAAATATGGAATATGGAACATATGAGTTCTATGTTCACCATTCTGAGGATGTCATGGGAAAACACCTAAATTATAGTATGTACTATAATTAATTGCATTATTTGTGGGGAATATTACCAGAAGCCAACTAGATATTATCATATTCAACTCAAGTCCTTTGCTTAGTGGAAATACATTAATCCTCTGTGTGTGTGTACATGTGTATTCTTTTAGGTAGATACTATAAAAGCTTATCTTAATAGGCTTCTTTGAAACTAAACTTAATGTCATATTTTACAAAGGGGGTGATAAACCAGGATGTGAGAATAATTAAATGTGGTGTGCTTTATGCATCCTTTTGGTTTAAGTGAAAATACTGTGTTTTGCTCAGTCACAGAGATGAAATATTGTCTTGCACATCATCTGTAAGTATTTAATTTGCTACAGAAATGAATCGTGAATATAGATGTATAACCTTCTGGTATGATATTACGTTAACAGAGAGAAGGAGCAAGAAAGGGAAGAACAGTTAATGGAAGACAAGAAAAGGAAGAAAGAGGATAAAAAGAAAAAAGAAGCCACTCAGAAGGTGAGTTTAATCAATTAAGTCTGTCTTTACACCTGCAAACATCCAGATAAGAAACTATCTTGGCCCAGGTACCTGACATCTCAATAATGCTACTTGAGACATTAGTTTACTTGAAAGTTTTAAGATTTGGAGGTGGGAGAAAGTTCAAAGTCTGTGCCTATTACCATAAAGTACATGCTAAATGATACTGCAGCTGATTTTGTGAAACAACAAAAACAATATTGAGAAAGGCAAGGGAGTTTTCAAATGCTCAGCTCTTGTTGTGTTTCCTTATTTGTGTAATAATTTAATCTTAATTTCCTTAAGCAAGTTTAGAGAATAACTTTTTAAAAAGTGCTGGAGTTTGCCTTGGCATTCTTTTGGTCACTCATAGCACTGTTGTTTTGATGAGTCTGCCTTTGGATAATTCCATACCGAACTCCCCACCCCCACCCCCCTGCCGCCCAAAGGATCCATTGGGTCTGTATAGTGTTTGGAGGGATATAGCATTGCAAGGCTTTGAGGAATTTACTTAGGAAAAAAGAAGAGATGCTAAAAGAGGGCTGTGAGCTGTCAGGTCTCAGTTGAAGTGTTAGTCTGCCAGTACTGTCTGAGGCAGAGTGGTTAGAATGCCCTGCCCCTCCCCTCTTTCTTCAGAGCATCACCTCTGCTGTAGCCATTGCCTGATCTCACTTAATTGCCCCCACCTCACCATTCTGTTTATATCTCTTACTTGGGCTCTGGCTTCTCAGGGTTGCTTTGGTGCCTTTTTTGGAGGCAAGGTGATTTGTTACCAGTTCTTGTTAGCGCTACCTAAAGCACTTGGGAAGCAGGGTCTCACTGTGGGGCAGGTTTGAGGGTTCCTGCTGTGTTGCTAGTTATCAGAGCCTAAGTTTAGGGAGATACAAACTGTTACTAAGGTTCAGAGGTTATCTTTAGATTTTGTATAGAGTCAAGGCAATCAAACACAAGCCAATGTAAGGTGTAAGGGGCCCTGTAAGTTGTCCCAGCATTATTGGATATAGTGTTTCCCATCATTCAATTTCTTGAATTATTGAAATAGTTCATTTATGTGTGCCAGCATAAGAAAAGTGGAAATACTTTCTGAATTAGATTGCATGTGACCCTGCCGTGTTAACTATATGAAATACAATTTTATCTTTTCTTCATGACTTAATTAAAAAGAACATCCATTATTATTTGGTGCTATTAAAAGACTGCTATTTTCTTGAAGATTTTGTCTGTTTTTAATTGTTTCTGTAAATAGTGCTATCTTACGCATGCCATCTTTGTGCTATCAGGGTATCTGCTTCTAATGTGTTGCTTCTCATCTGAGTTTGTAAGAGTTGTATATAACTCTAAAGAGTGTGGGCCAGGCATGGTGGTTCCAGCCTATAATCCCAACACTTTAGGAGGCTGAGGCAGGAGGATTGCTTGATCCCAGGAGTTATAGGCTGCAGTGAGCTATGATTGTACCACTGGACTCCAGCCTGGGCCACAGAGCAAGACTCTCTATCTTAAAAAAAGAAAAGTCTGGGGGGAGGGGGAGAAATGGGCATTTATTGAAACCTTAAAATCTGTACCCCCATAATATGCCGAAATAAAAAAAAGAAAAAAAGAAAAGAAAAGTCTGAATAAAGAAGTCAGATAACAACCTAGAGGCTTTTTTACACTTCCTTTGGGTACACAGCCACATTCCCTATCATTGAGGTTGCAATATGTAGGTCCACCGTGTATGAGGTGTTAGTGGCATTGCCCCTGTGGCTTCTGGGCTCTTGTCCCTGTGCCCTACACACACTGAGTGTGCCTCTTCCTCACCCGCTAGAGTGATGTGAGATTGAACATTAGGGAAAGCTTTCTTTTCTTCAAGGTACTCACACATTTCATTGACTAAATTGGTACAAAAATCAGATTTTGCAGTCTGTTGGAATGGATGGTTAATAGGCTAAACAGCAGGGAACTTGAGCAAAGGCTGTTAACAATAGGATGCCAAATAGAGCAATTGTTTTAGACAATATACATTCCATTTTCATTCTTGACATAAATAACAGTGTTTTCTTAAACTAAAAATATCAATATCTAGAAATAACTAATAAAATATGCATTTGTAAACTTGCTTTGTGGATTCCACTAAGAAAAATGATTTAAAATAAAGATGGTATGGATATATTTGAGAGTGAATTGGGATTACTTATGCAGAGAATGAGTCTATGCAGCTGGACAATCTCCCCTGTGTGCTTGTGTCTGCATTAACAACTGATTAAGAAGTGATGTCAAAGAGGAATGGCATCATGAATAGGATTTTGAAGTGGTTGATTGCAAGCAATAAAAATTCAATCATTTTTGCTCAAAATTGTCTAGCTCAGCTGACGTAGAGTCTAGGTTGACACAGGCCGACCCATGGCCTTTGATACTGTTTTATGATACTGAACCATTGTGTAATTTCAGAATTAAATTCCGATTTAGCAGTTTTAAGGAGAGAACACAAAGCTTACCATGTGATTGTCTTAGTGGTTTCCAACCTTATTATAGAGACAACGCCTCAACTAGGAGGCCTAAAATGTGCTATAATGAAAAGAATTGTAGAGAATGTGCCAGAGGTTCTATTATGTGGTCAGTCGTTCATTCATTCAGTCAGCAAACATTTGTGGTGCCTCATCTAAGTGTTTCCACATCTTTCAGCTGCTTACCGCACTGCTTTATAGCCAGTTCTTTGTGTCTGTCTTCACTACTAGACTGACTGTAAGTTTCTCAAGGTTTTATTCATATTTGTATTGTCAGTAACTAGGGCAGTGCCTGGTGCAGAATAGTCACTTAAAAATTGTATATTTAATAAGTGAATGGTCAAGAATGAATGATGGAAACATAATTTTCTTGAAGAATTGAATTTTATTTAAAGCTAAAATTAAATTACTTCCACACAGAAATTAAGCATGAGCTTTTTGCACTGTTTTCAGTGGCTGTGGCAGTTTGCTCTTTCTAGAGCCATCACTGAGTAAACTGTTAGATTTCCATTCACGAGAGAGGTGTCAAAGAAGGGTTCCATTCACATTCATTAGGATGCTGCTGCTAAAGGAGCATTGTTTAGTGTTGGCAGAATACATACTTTGATCATCCAGCTTTTTACCATCTGGGGACAGCTCTTTTAACAGAACCCACATTATAAGACATATTTGACATTATTTGGGTTTGTTGCTTATGGCAGGAAGGCATTGATTTCCTGTGTAACTGATTTTCAAAAACGGCATTCTAAGAAATATTTACAGTGGTATAAAACCTAAATTGCCTTAGGGAATTGGTATGTGGATGGGTAGAAATCATTCATTCTTAGATAAGTGAGGTTATAGAAAAATTACACAAGGATATTTTTTGGTAGAATTGAGCTCTATAACAATTAGTACTGGGAAACATTCATTTTAAGACACTGTGTTCCACTAATTCACTACAGTAGAATTAGCTTGTGCTTTCATGTAAGATTGTAAGAAGCATTCCAGGAGGTCCTGCAAGTAGATGGTTTAACTTAGATTTAGAATCCAACAGTAGAGTGCTGGGATCCACTGTGAAGGGGGCAGGTTAGCTGCACGACCTTCCCTCCAAAGATGACCATGTTTTTGTGAACCCCCCCATAGCAGTAACCCAGTATGATCACCAGCCACAAATGATCAAACCTCTTTACATGAATATTTTTGTTACAAATGTCAGATAACCAATATAAAAATGCTTTAGAAGATTAACAGTTGGGAAAAGTGGGTCAAAAGCACCCACGAGTCTCAATAATGTAAAGTAACCACTGTTAGAACTTTGGCATATTTCCTTTTGGATGTTTTTCTTATGTGTGACCTTTGTGGGTTTTATACAGGACATGTATAATTAGACACCCTCCTTTATTTTCCCCTCTTAACAATATCAGAAGCAGTTTTCCATTTGGCTTCTAATCATCATTTCCAAACTCTCTAAAAACCCATTACTGTACTCAGCCTGTCCAACTTTTAGGTTAATCACTTCCATAGATGTATTAGTTACTATATAAATAAATACTTTTAACAAAGAACTCTTGATTTGTTCAACATTTACATATTTCATTCATATTGCTGTACTCCATGCTGTATGTAAACTTTAATAACAGCAGCAGATATGCATGGATATCTGATTTAATCCTTATAACAACCCTTTGCAGGGATATACTATTATTATCTCTGTTCAACAGATAATAGAAAACTGAGATCACACGGCCAGGAAGTCACAAGGCTTGGTTTTGAATCCTGCCTTCCTACCATGACCTCTGTTGCCTCTGATGATGGATCTCTGAAGTTTTGCTTTTTAGATTTGGGATTAAGTGTTTGAGTCCATATTCATAGGGGAATCTTTTTGTCTCTATGGCTCATTTAGTTTCTGGGCCACATCCATTTGATTTTGTCTAGTCATAGCAATCAAATGGCAAATATTCACAGTACAGGGACCACATCATGTAATGAGAGGGAAGTGCTTTTTTCTTTTTTTTAAATTTTTAGTATTCTTCCTAATGGTGGTCATGTAAATTATAGTTGGACATATGGCTGTAGTCTAGAAGGATGTCTGAATGGACTCCCAGCTGCTTTTTCTAGATTTCAACTATGCCTGTGTATCTGACAGCCTGGATTACTTAAGTCACCAAAATTAAAGTTGTCTTATAATATAATGCTGAATTAGAAAGCAAATCTCATTTACTGATGTCTGTTCATTTTGCAGGTCACGGAACAAAAAACCAAAGGTAAGATTTTTTTTTTCTTTTTAAATTATTAAAACGTTTTGTGTTTAGATTTTACACTCTTGCTAACTCAGCCTCCGATCCACTTGGAAAGAGAGTGGGTGTCGAGTAATTAAGGTGGGTTTTTTGCAGTCCCTGAGGAGCAATAATAACAAATTAAAAGTAAGTGTACTAATGTTTCTAGTTGGCCTTGAATTTTTTAGGAGACAGAAGAGTAAATACCTGTTGTAAAAGTATATGGGTCATGATTTTGAACTGAACCTTTTCTGAAAAATTTTTTAGAACAATAACAAAAAACAAACCACCAGCTCCTAATTTACAGAGGGGAACTGCAAAGGGCTGTTAACCACTTTACCCATGGCATCCATTAAGTCCGAAAACGGAATGTTGCATCTGCACTCTCTTCTGAGCTAGAGCCTGTAGTGGCTTTCTAAAGGTAATACATTTTGAGTAGGTTAACTCTGTTACAAAACAGTGACGTCTTGTAAACAGAAGCAGGTATCCCTCTGGTCATTCTCATCTTAATGATCTATGTCTTTTTTTTGTTTTTTTCTTTCCTGTTGATTTTGATCATGTAGTTTTTGTCTGGTGATAGTCACACTTTGGGTCAGTTCCCCTTAAGAATGGGAGACTTCCTCCTTTGATGCGGCTCCTCTCCTTGCTCACCTAAATATGTGTGTCAGTTAGGTATGCATGATAGAGAATCATTTGCATAGAGTTGTCAAAATATACAAGCCTAGGCCTCCTGCCAAACCTTCACAGTCCCAGGCCATGGCCCTAGCAGGTATATATATTTTTTCTTTTTTTGAGACAGAGTCTCACTCTGTTGCCCAGGCTAGAGTGAGTGCCGAGGCATCAGCCTATCTCACAGCAACCTCAAACTCCTGGGCTCAAGCAATCCTCCTGCCTCAGCCTCCCGAGTAGCTGGGACTACAGGAATGTGCCACCATGCCTGACTAATTTTGTCTATATATTTTTAGTTAGCCAATTAATTTCTTTCTATTTTTAGTAGAGACGGGGTCTCGCTCTAGCTCAGGCTGGTCTCCAACTCCTGACCTCCTGAGTGATCCACTAGCCTCGGCCTCCCAGAGTGCTAGGATTACAGGCGTGAGCACCGGGCCCGTCCTTAGAAGGTATATTTTAAAAAGCTCTGCACGTGCCGCAGTACATGACCCTGCTGCACTGGAGAACCACTGTTCTGGACGAAGGGAATCAGATGTGACTGCAACTTGGAGGGGGGTAAAGGTGATCGAGAGATCAAGTCTTGACAGCAGGCTCCGTAAAGATTGGTTTCTTCATTGTTTTTTATTTTGTTTTGTTGCACTACCAGGCCAAAGCATGTCACACAGTGATGGAAGACTAATAAAGACAGTGCCAGTTCCTTAGGAAACTTCGTTATGAAAAACAAATTCTCCGAAAAACAAATGATCAGATATCAGACGTTACTATAATATATTTCTAATCAGAAGTCGTTTCAAAGAAGACTGTAGTCTGGGTCTTTGTAGTGATTTATAAGATAACCTGAGAGAAACTATTGTTAGTTATAATTATCTTAATTGGTTAGAGAGAATAGTATTCTCCCCTGTACATTTCCCCAGTTCCCAGCCCAGAAGTAGGCTTTATTTTGGAAATATCTTTGTAAATTACTTGTTTGAAATATAAATATACTTTCCCATACAAATAGTATTATTCATAGTGGTACAGTGTCCATATTTTCTGAACTAACATACTGTCTAGGAAAGGGTTTGGGCACTTAAATATTTATATTTATAGGACTTTTTGATAATTTATGGGGGCAGCAGATGAGAAAATTGTCATTTTCCTGGACAGTCCAGGCTCTGTGGTTTCTGGAACATGGTGGTTGAGTTCCTAGGCCTGGCCACAAGTCTGGTGCTCATGAAGCCAAGTGTTGGTTGTGCTATAGAACCAAGCTGTTCTGTATGATAAGTGGTGTTTCTATTGGAAAACTAAAAATCTGTTAGGCATTTTTTCTCACCAAAAAATTTTTCTGGTACCAGATCTGTTCTCAAATGCATTTCTCTTTCCTCTGCCAAAGTCTTAAAAATCAAACTTCCATTTCTATTCACTACCAGATATTTTTTCTAACTAGGATCTTTCTCATACCTATCATAGAATGGAATACAGTTTCACAATCTCCATACTCTCCCCACCCCCACCCCCACCCCCAATCAAAAAATAAAAATAATCCTAAGGGCAACTGAAAGCCCATTTGAGCTTTCCTAAGGGATTTAATTGTTAGAACCAGGGAGTAGACATGAAGTAAAAATATAAATTATCCCTGAAGTATGTTAGACTGTAAGTACAGGGAGGTCTTGATCATTCTAGTTTTGGGCCCAGGTTGATGGCTACAGCTTTATCTTTGTTCCTGAGAGCCTGCCTGGGTACTCTAAATCTTCTTATCTTCCCTCGGCTGACATGTCTGAGTCCTATTCCTCTCCCCAAAGATGATGTCTTCCTCAGGCAATCTCCCTTTAACTCTGAATCTACTCCTCTTTCCCCAACAGACCCTATAAGAAAAAAGAAAAAACTGTTGGTGCCGAATTTCTGGTTGTACAGAGGACTAAAGTAAGATTTTTCCATATTTCAGAGAAAAAGTAGATTTATTATATGTTCTTTATCTTCCCATCATTTGAAAAAAAATGGTGAGAATTCTGAAGAGAAGAATAGGACAGACATTTCAAGTGGAGGTTATATGAAGACACAGGCCAGAGCTGGCTTGCTACCCAGGTACCAAATAATAATAAATACTTAAGGTAGAAGTTAATATACTCCTTTGTTGGATATTAGACTTGGAATCTGAAGAGTTTGAGGGATTGGTGTAGCAGATCAGATTTAGGAGATGAAATTTAACAGGGATGAAGGATAAGATTAGGATTAAAAAGCCCCTTTGCATAGACTATGTAATGGGAAAATTCAGACATAATGATTTAGCCTTATTAAAAAGATGTTAGAGTAATGGTTGGCTTAATTAGATTTATCAGCATGAAATGACTGATTTATAAAAACTAAGATGACCTTAAGCTACATTAATAGAGATATGGTGTCCAGGAAAGGATTCACAGTTCCTGTAATGGGCACCTGCTATGGAAAGAAACAGAGATCAGCCTCCATGGACCTTAGGAGTTTGGGCCAGATCATTCAAGGAATTTGTCACCTTAGGAGGTTTAAATACCTGTAGGGGTTTGCTTAGCTCCCATGGGAAGGCTTCCCACCTGTGGAACCTCACATAACTGTCTTCAAAAATTTGAGGGGTTCTGGTGCCTGACATTTCATAGTTCCTTGGTAACTGTCTGTTGTATGTTTTGTTCAATGAAACTTACTCTAACTCCTAAAGTACCACTGATGAGTCAAAGCAACAGGGAAAGGCTTCCAGCTCAGTGTAAATTATAGTTTTTAGATATTGTTGTCCAAAGCAGTTATTCATGACATTGCCCCTTTACTCCACTGGGACACAGCTGAGGGACAGCACCTTCCCCATCAGCATAGGTGAGGTATGGGTCTTTGCAGTAAGTTGGCTACGACTCTACTTTTGTTTGAGCCTATTCCAGAAGGCATGTTACAGTGAGTTACAGGGTAACCTTGAGTCTACTCTTTTTCATTACTATTGGAGTTCCCCCCATCACTAAATAATTTGTAGACTAAACTACTTACAGCACCCCTCACATCTTGCAGAGACATCTGTGTGTTCTAACACTATTGTGAGTAACCCACTTGTTCAGAGATGGAACTGGCTGCCTCTAAGGGAGTGAATGAACGTGAGGTATCATGAGACATGTGGATCAGATAAGTGGACATGAAAATAGTCTAGATGGCAGGTGATGGAGGACTTGAACCTGGTTAGGAGCACTGGTGGTAGAGATTAAGGATTGAATTGCAGAGGTGCTATAGTTTAACTTAATGTTGCTGGATAATGATGTGGGGTGTGGGAGCACTGAGAAGTCTAAGATATCTTCCAGGTATCTGACTTGAGCAGCTGGTTGGGTGATGGCTTCATTCTTTGAGGGAGGAGAAATAGGACTGGAAGCTAGGGAACAAGTTTGAGGAGAAGGGCAAGGGTGAAAGAGATCTGAGTTAGAGATTGTGATTTGGGAAACATTAACACATAAGTGATAAACCGGGAGCATGGGAGAATTGGTTTTTTTTTTTTTTTTGAGGCCGAGGCGTCAGCCTAGCTCACAGCAATCTCAAACTCCTGGGCTCAGGCAATCCTCCTGCCTCAGCCTCCCGAGTAGCTGGGACTACAGATATGTGCCACCATGCCTGGCTAATTTTTTCTATATATATTAATTGGCCAATTAATTTCTTTCTACTTTTAGTAGAGATGGGGGTCTCGCTCTTGCTCAGACTGGTTTTGAACTCCTGACCTTGCTCAATCCTCCCACCTCAGCCTCCCAGAGTGCTAGGATTACAGGCGTGAGCCACCACGCCCGGCCTATGGAGAGTTTTGTATACAAGTAACTTAAATAAGGGAATAGTGTGGGCCCTGATTTTTGTTTCTTTGTTTTTTTCAGACAGAGTCTTCCTCTGTCACTCAGGCTAAAGTGCAGTGGCATCATCATAGCTCACTGTAACTTCCAACTCTTGGGCTGTCTATCCTCCCACCTTAGCCTCCAGAGTAGCTGGGGCTACAGGTGCAAGTCCCCATGCCTGACTGATTTTCTTTTTATTTTTTTTTTGTAAAGATGGGGTCTTGCTATATTCCTCAGGCTGGTCTTGGACTCCTGGCCTCAAGCAAGCTTCCTGCCTCAGCCTGGCATCACAAAGTGCTGGGATTACAAGCATGAGCTACTTTGCCTGGCCCACATTAATTTTTTGTTGTTTTTTTTTTAAGCCACAATTCAATGGCCAAATTGAGCTGCCATTCTGCAATTGTGATTATGAGGATAGTCAAAAGCAGGGGATGCCAACTGTGGCCCCAGGCCCACTGTATCTCACCACCTATTTTTGTACTCCCTATGAGCTAAGAATGTTTTCTATATTTTTTTAATTATGGGGGGGCGGGGAAATCCAATATTTCATGACATGTGAAAATATGAAAGTCATATTTCACTGTCTACAAGTAAAATTTTATTGGAGCACAGCCACACTCGCTTGTTTACACATTGTCTGTGACTGCTTTTGCCCTAGAAGTGCAGAGTTGAGTTATTGTGACAAAGACAGTATGGCCAGTAAAGCCCAAAATATTTTCTATCTGGACCTTCACAGAAGAAGTTTGCTGACCCTGATTAAGAGTGTGAGAAGCCGAGCAAGAGAGAGAAAGGAAAAGCTAGCAGGAGCAGCTCTCACAAAAACACAGAGAGAGGGAATGACAAGTAGTGTCAGAAGCTGCATAAAGTCAAAGAAGAAATGGTCCAGTGAGTGCTCATTGAATTGGCAGTGAAGATCACTAGTGACTTAGGGTAAAAGCCAGTGTGCTGCTTTTTTTGAGAAGTGAATAGAAGGCAAACAAATAGAGACTGTGCTTAAAGTTTACTGAAAATTGTTCAGTATGTATCAGCCATTCACTGCATATCATCAGATTTAAAATTTCAGCCCAAAATAATATCTTTTCTAGGCCTGGTTTGTATTTTAAACATTTCTAGATAATTTTTTATGTTTGGTCCCATTGAGATAGTTAAAGGAAATGATAGTTTGTATTGGTCCTGTATGGTTGTTAGGTTTGTTATGAATATATGCTTTTTTTCCTTTTTTTTTTTTTTTTTGAGACAGACTCTTGCTCTGTCACCCAATCTGGAGTGCAGTGGCATCATCTTAGCTCTTTGTAACCTCGAACTCCAAGGCTCAAGTGGTCCTTCTGCCTCGGCCTCATGAGTACCTGGGACTACAGGCTCACACCACCACACCCAGCTAATTTTTCTATTTTTTGTAGAGATGGGGTCTTGCTCTTGCCCAGGTCTTGAACTCCTGGCCTTAAGTAATCCTCCTGCCTCAGCCTCCCAAAGTATTAGGGCTGTAGGCGTGAGCCACCATGCCCAACCTACTTTTAAAAAATTCAGAAATCTACCTGTTTCAGGAGTTTCTTAATCCTTCTATCTGAAAAAGTAGTATCTTACTGAAGTTTTCCAGATATAGAGGCAATTAGAATTTCAAACTGTAAGACATGAGAATGACATAAGACAAAGGGTATAGATATGGGGAAGATTCAAACAGTAGAATACATAAATGGTTTGTAGAAGTAAATGAATGGAAATTAGAAAATAGGATACCCAGCATTTTTCACAGTGTTTTTATTTCCCTGTGATACAGAGACCATGTTTAAGCCACCGACCTTTTCTCTGGAAAATAAGAAACTATGCCCTTATTTAGAAAGGCATCGTCTTTGGAAATACTTGCACTACAACCTGCAAATCCTTAAGACTCAGAAAAGAGAGGGCCTGAAAAGTAACGTATTCGGACTTCAATATAGTTTCTCTCTCTTCTGTTATCATCTAACATTCTGGAGCATAATAAGGGGCATACACTGAATCTGACGTCTGAAGTTTGGACTTGGTGGATCAGATTGGATCAGGCTTCTTGCCAACAGCACCATTGCTCTGCATTTAGTTCCTAGAATTCTGATTGGCATTTAAATGCTTGATGTTCTTGAACTCATAGAAAGGTGTAATTTAAAAAATAGAATAAGAATTAATTCGTGTCCTGAAACACAGTTATCTTATGACTAACGTGGTGTATTATAGGCCTTTTCTGACTATGTCTTAGAGTTTTGAATGACTAGTCTCCCGGGACAGAGCACTGCAGTGTGTTCCAACACCACTTTATAACGGCTTTATCATTTATGATCCCTCCTATCTCTGAGATGTGATTTGATGGTGGGAAAGTGCCCTGAGGAGCTTTTGCAAGGAATCTTGCACAGTATGTGATGCCCACCAGATTTCTTTGATTTAAACAGTGCTGTGGATGTTACAAAGTTAATCAAACTAGTGTTCAGCCCTCAGTCCTATAGGCTGCTCTTTGTCTTATTTGTTTTTTAGAGAAATGAATTAAGGCATGTAGCAGACTTGGTTAAGGTCAAGTGAAGATCCTAGTCCTTTTACAGAAGGGCAGCCTCACAGAGACATAGCTCCTTCTATCCTAAAAACCAGTTGGGAAGAATCCCTCCCAGCCTTTGCCACCTTCTTATTCTCCTAATGAGAGAAAAGGGGATTGGGAATGCCATAAGCTGTGGAGTCCTCCAGAAACATACAAAAAATGAATCATTAAATAATGTTTATTCATTCACTTACCAGGTATTTATCCATCTGTGGTTATAGGTCATTAATATTAGATAATGACTCATTTATTAAGTCTCATTTTTATTCTCATCAGATTTTGGATCCTCTGACCTCCCTTCCTTACTAGGAGGGCCAGTATACTGCCTTGTGATTGGCTAAGGTTAAATATAGGGGTCGCCTGGAAGGCAGGCACCTGCTCTTTTCTCTTGTCACTCAGAGTACTCGTTAACGTCCAGTGGTGCTGTAGATTGGGCCCCCTGCTTTCTGATGATGTATCTCTCTCCTCATAAAGGAGCCAGTTAAACGAGCGACATGCTGGCCCAGCATCATTTTAGCAGTCAAAGCAGTACTGCCACCAGAGCTGGCCCTAACGTTACCCTGGGTGGCAGGGATTTGGGCCTCAGAATTATCTGACTTGTCAGGCTCAATGATTATTTCTGTGATACTTCCAGCCTCGAGTTGTCATGTAGATTTTTATGGAATGGGTAGTGGACTTTTGGTAGCATGAAGCAAGTGGTGCAGACGCAAGAGAACCTTCTCTGTGGGGCTGAGAGGGGAGGGCCTAAGGTCTGGCAGCGTGTGCTTCATGGTTGCCCGGCACCACCCCAGGTTGTCTGTTTGCCATTTTAAAAATTAAGGTAAAAAATTATTTGAAATAGAAAAAGTATATTTGAAATTTTTATCCTCAATAAAGATTTGAGGAAAACAATTTTTGACAACAGCAAAAAAATTTATGGCATTTCTAATGTTTACACAGAGAGCCACACAAGTCATTGAGTCCAGGTGGCTGTAGAAACCAAAACGATTCAAGTTTTGCGATTCTCCAGTCCCACAGTTTCCTGTTGGGCTCTACTCTGTGCCATGCACTAAGGACAGAAATACAGAAAATGGGTCCCTGCCCTGAGAGAGGCATGGCCCAGTGAGGAAGACTGTCCTGTAAATGGAGAATTCAACATGATATGGCAAATTCCATGCAGGGAGATACGGACGGCGTGTTCCGGCACAGATGAGGGGTGCGTAGCCCACCTAGTGCAGCAACTGCAGGAAAGGCTTTTCAGAGCGAGATCTTTAAAGAAATGTGGATGAAGGGAGGGAACCCTTGGGCCAGGAGGCTTGAACTCCTTACCAAGGACTTTGCCACAAACATTTAACCCTGCAAGGCAGTCCTTAAGGGAATTAATTCCACTGTTGATATAGGGGAATGAATGATGATCATGTCCTTCTCCCCCTTAATTAATGACATATAATTCCATGATCTTACTGTGTTTGAATCCTTGTCACCATCACGCGCCGCCTCCATCCTACCTTCAGTAAACTCGAGATATTGTGGCGAATTTGGAAAGACTGTTATCTCTCTAGAGTAGAGTGAAAGAAGAGTTATTGGTCTCATGTAAGCTTTTTAAAAAATAATCTTTAGAAAAATGTATCTGATATATTTCAAAGACTATTCCCAACCTCTCTCTTTCAGTGCCCGAAGTGACGAAACCAAGTTTAAGCCAACCAACGGCCGCCAGCCCAATTGGCAGCTCTCCATCGCCACCAGTCAATGGTGGCAACAATGCCAAAAGGGTGGCAGTGCCGAACGGACAACCGCCAAGCGCCGCCCGCTACATGCCTCGGGAGGTGCCGCCGCGATTCCGTTGCCAGCAGGACCACAAAGTGTTACTGAAACGTGGGCAGCCCCCTCCGCCGTCCTGCATGCTCCTCGGGGGTGGGGCAGGGCCTCCTCCCTGCACAGCACCCGGAGCAAACCCAAACAACGCACAAGTGACAGGAACGCTGCTGCAGAGTGAGAGTGGGACTGCACCAGGTGAGGCAGCGGAGGTGATGACTTCAGTTCATAGCAACTTTAGAGAGAGAGAGAGCTTTGTTTGCATTGCCTAATGTAAAATCCACAAAAACCATGAATTATATAGACTGTTAGGATTATTCCAAAGATGGGTGAAGACCCCAGTATGAAACGTGTATAGGCAGATCTCAGAAACTGAGTTTTAGCGTTATGTAAGTGTGTGCTCTGGGCATGAGAGGCTCATTTAGCAGCTGTTGGTCATCACTGTTTGGGCCTTTCTTTCTCGTCTTGGACAAGAGCGTTGTAAATTTAATCCTGTAGTTCCACTGTGTATTCAGAGCATGATGGCAAGTGGAGCTTCTGTAGAGGCTCATTCTGTTTCCGGAATGCCAGGAGTGTAGAGAAAATGATTTCTTAGATTAAAATGTAGACTTTTGGGAGGTTACCAAATAAAACCATTCTATAGTTTTTTATTAAATTTTTAAAGTCAATATTTCTTTTTGAGGGCCCTGGATTTTGAGCCTTGTTAAAAAAAACTGTGGACATAAAATCTTTAGCTGAGGGGTTCTGCTATAAGTTTTAAGAGTTTTTAATTGATGAATACTAAGTCAACTAACAGCTAAGAACTTCCAAGTACCTTATTTTTATTTTTAGTTAACAGATTTTGACATATCTCTTAAAATGCCTTTTTAGGCATTAAAATTTTTTTAGGAATTAAATTTTAGAAATTAAGTTAATTTTTTTAGGAATTAAAATTCAGAGCTTTGAATATGATCAAGCATTAGCAAGGACAGTGGATTGATGGGTTAATGGTTGTCACCAGTAGGATGCTTTATTTGAGTTCTGAGTTTGAAGAAAGAATTGCCTAGAAAATTCTTTCACCATCTTATTGTGTGCAGAGTAATAAGAATGTAAAGAAACCTAGTGGTAACACAGGCTTCATGCAGAGGTTTAAGCCCTACCTTCAAGGCTTCAGGCCTGGCCCAGAGCAGACAGGGAAAGGCCTTGTGGCTCTTTTGTCCTGGCTCTGGTAACCAGTTGCAAAAAGAAGCATGTGAGAAAGTGGCCCCGTCAGGCATTTCTTCTGCAGCTGAGTCTAGCCAGGCCTGAGTGGAGACGTGGGTCCCCTGTGAGTCAGAGTCTCTTCTTTCTATCATTAAAACCAAGGAGGCCCCTAAAAATCCAGAGTTTCAGGTTCTATTCTCTCTCATTTTTATATTTCTATATTTTATATGGTATTTTGTTTGCATAATATTTTGTTCAACTTCATATTGATTTTAAGCTATTTGGTTAAAGGAGCTAAAATAAATATATAAAAAATTATCTCATTAAAAACATGTCATATTTTTACCCTACCAAATATGGTAAATTGTGGGATTTACCCAAGATGTGTGCTGAGCCAGACCAATTTATCAGATTTAGTTCCCTGGGGCTATGAAATCTGATTCATGCTTGTGTGTCAATCAGCATCTCTAGCTCAGTGAACATTTATCATGCAGCAGATCCGTGGAATTCAAACGTTAGCAAGACAGGGTCTCTACCTAAAAGGCGCTAACGTGGGGAAGGAAAGATGTGAACACAGTACTGCAGCACTGAGGAAAATGGCTCTGGACAGGGCAAAATTATTTTCAGATGATGAGCTCAAAAACAGCTTCATAGGAGAAATGGCACTTGAACTAGGCCCATAAGGATGAATAAGTTTAATTGTGTGACTACAGGAGGTAAAAACAGTAGGTGCCAGTGTAGAATGGTGCCAGAGTGAGAAGGCACAGCTGTGGAATGTCAAGTGGTGTGGATCTACATGGCAAGTCGTAGGACATAGACTAGAAAGTTGATTGGTCCCAGGTCATGGAGCATCTTGATCAAACTCCCAACCAAGGAGTTCAGCTTTATTCTTGTGCATTAAGGAACTGTTGGAGGCTCTCCATGCAGTGATAGAATCAAAGGTATTCTTTAGAAAAATCAGTTCCGCCAGGAGTGTTTAGAGTAGGTTGGAGATAACAGAGCAAGTTTAGAGTGCTGTTGCACTGACTCAAGATACAAGAAGGCCCTTCTCTGTCAGCAGGAATGGCAAGGAGATACCTTTGAGAGATGTTGTGGAGTTAGACTTAGCCAGTATAACATCAGACAAATGAAAAAAAGATGGCTAAGACAGTTGTGATGCAGGAACTAGGTAGTGAAGCTGATTTGTGCAGAAATGTGATTAGCTCTTCTAGAGGCAGTCTGAGGTCTAGGTTTTAATGGGTAATAAATGTATGTGAAACTGTGATTGATAAAATGATCTCTTTCCTAGAGTCAACCCTTGGAGGTGCTGCTGCTTCAAATTATGCAAATTCCACTTGGGGCCCGGGAGCCTCCTCCAACAACGGCACCTCCCCCAACCCAATTCACATCTGGGACAAGGTGATTGTAGACGGGTCTGACATGGAAGAGTGGCCTTGTATTGCCAGCAAAGACACTGAATCTTCTTCCGAAAACACCACCGATAACAACAGTGCCTCGAACCCTGGCTCTGAGAAGAGCACTCTGCCAGGAAGCACCACTAGTAACAAAGGAAAAGGGAGCCAGTGCCAGTCTGCAAGTTCTGGGAACGAATGTAATCTTGGGGTCTGGAAATCTGACCCTAAGGCTAAATCTGTTCAATCTTCCAACTCTACTACAGAGAGCAACAATGGACTAGGAAATTGGAGGAATGTGAGTGGTCAAGATAGAATTGGACCTGGCTCTGGCTTCAGCAACTTTAACCCAAATAGCAACCCATCTGCCTGGCCAGCACTGGTCCAAGAAGGAACTTCTAGGAAAGGAGCATTGGAAGCAGATAATAGTAATTCCAGTGCACAGGTTAGCACAGTAGGTCAGACATCCAGGGAACAACAGTCAAAGATGGAAAATGCGGGTGTTAATTTTGTTGTCTCTGGCAGAGAACAGGCTCAAATTCATAACACTGATGGACCAAAAAATGGAAACACTAACTCCTTGAACTTAAGTTCACCAAACCCCGTGGAGAATAAGGGAATGCCCTTTGGAATGGGCTTGGGGAACACCTCCAGGAGCACTGATGCCCCTTCACAAAGCACTGGAGATCGAAAGACTGGGAGTGTTGGATCTTGGGGTGCAGCTAGGGGGCCTTCTGGAACTGACACAGTCTCTGGACAAAGCAATTCTGGAAACAATGGGAACAATGGAAAAGAAAGAGAGGACTCCTGGAAAGGAGCTTCTGTTCAGAAATCAGCTGGGTCAAAAAATGACTCTTGGGACAACAATAACAGGTCTACGGGTGGGTCCTGGAACTTTGGCCCTCAGGACTCTAATGACAACAAATGGGGTGAAGGGAACAAAATGACATCTGGGGTCTCTCAGGGAGAATGGAAACAGCCGACTGGGTCTGATGAGTTGAAAATTGGAGAATGGAGTGGTCCAAACCAACCAAATTCTAGCACTGGAGCATGGGACAATCAAAAGGGCCACCCCCTCCCTGAAAACCAAGGTAATGCCCAGGCTCCCTGTTGGGGAAGATCTTCCAGCTCCACAGGAAGTGAAGTTGGAGGTCAAAGCACTGGAAGCAACCACAAGGCAGGAAGTAGTGACAGTCATAATTCTGGCCGTCGTTCGTACAGGCCCACACATCCTGATTGTCAGGCTGTCTTGCAGACTCTTTTGAGCCGAACTGATTTGGACCCCAGGGTGCTCTCGAACACTGGCTGGGGCCAAACTCAAATTAAGCAGGACACGGTGTGGGATATTGAAGAGGTGCCAAGGCCTGAGGGGAAATCTGACAAAGGAACTGAGGGGTGGGAGAGCGCTGCCACACAGACCAAGAACTCAGGGGGCTGGGGAGACGCACCCAGCCAAAGCAATCAAATGAAGTCTGGATGGGGGGAGCTCTCAGCCTCTACAGAGTGGAAAGACCCCAAGAACACAGGAAGCTGGAATGACTATAAGAACAACAACTCTTCCAACTGGGGAGGAGGACGACCAGATGAAAAGACATCTTCCTCTTGGAATGAGAACCCCGGCAAGGATCAGGGGTGGGGAGGTGGGCGCCAACCCAATCAAGGTTGGACTTCTGGAAAGAATGGTTGGGGAGAGGAAGTTGATCAAGCAAAAAACAGCAATTGGGAAGGTTCTGCAAGTAAACCTGTGTCTGGGTGGGGTGAAGGAGGACAGAATGAAATCGGAACTTGGGGTAATGGTGGGAATGCAAGCCTAGCTTCAAAAGGTGGGTGGGAAGATTGCAAAAGATCCCCAGCATGGAATGAGACAGGCAGACAGCCCAATTCCTGGAATAAACAACACCAACAGCAGCAGCAGCCACCGCCGCCACAGCCACCACAGCCAGAGGCTTCTGGCTCATGGGGAGGCCCACCCCCACCACCTCCAGGCAACGTTCGACCTTCCAATTCCAACTGGAGCAGCGGCCCACAGCCCACAACCCCTAAGGATGAGGAACCCAGTGGTTGGGAAGAGCCATCCCCACAGTCAATTAGTCGAAAAATGGACATTGATGATGGCACTTCAGCGTGGGGAGACCCTAACAGTTATAACTACAAGAATGTGAATCTGTGGGATAAGAATTCCCAAGGGGGCCCAGCACCTCGTGAACCAAACCTGCCCACCCCGATGACCGGGAAATCAGCATCAGGTAAGCAATGTTTTTTTTCTCGCAGATTTTGATGAAGAAAAGAAATCCTAGACCAAGGCACTTTTATTAAGGTGCATTTATTCAACTCGGCTTTATTCTCAGACTCTTTCCTACAGTTTCTACTCTGTTGCTAACAGAACCTCTCTATTTATAAACCGCTAATGTTGGCAGATGCTGGTAGTACTTTTTAATGTTCTTTCTTGGCAAAAGGAAAAGATGACAACCCCGTGTTAGTCCCCAAAATTATTTTTCTCTAATTGTATTGGTGTGCAGAATCCAAAAGACTTCTATCTTGCCCAACAAACTATGCTCTAGATTTTAAAAATAAAGAATTAAAGTAGTAGCAGAAATAGACCTGATTTCCATTCTGATTCCACCCATGGACACATCCTCTGTGTTTCTCTTTCCCCAGCAAAGGGAAGTATTCTGCATTGTTCTTCCAGAGGCCATCAATGCTGTAGCAAAGCTGGTATCTGGAAGGTTTTAGTCTCTTTCCAGGTGGTTTTTAATGATTACCTCTGGAAGGGGGAGTACTTTGGATTAGAGATTATTATCTCATTATGATCAGTTGCCCAGAATTAAACTTTCTTCTCTCATTATGTGAATAGGAAACATCATACCTGGTGAATTAAAAGTAACAATGGTAATGGCATTCTTACTTTGGCGTTGTTAACTTGAATGTTCTCATAAGGCAGATAATTCAACAAGTTAAGGGAGATGTACCTTTCAAGTCTTTTTTTAGTTAAACTTAATCATAATATTAATAGTCAGTTTTCTGCTTCTCAAATTAAACCTAGTGGTTATTGAATCCATTTTTGACCATTTAGAAAACGATTACTTTTAACTAGTTCTTTTTTCAAGTATCAAAAAGAATGAGGAAGGAAATGAAGATTGCTCATTAACTCCTATCTAGAATAAAACCTGCTAACATTTTTAAAAACAATATAGACATAATAAAAACCTTCAAACTGTATGGAAAAGCAAAAAATAATAATAAAAGAATCTTAACCCCTAGGGTCTTTCCACATAGGTAATCTCTTTTGAAGTTTGTGTCCCATTGAGAAATTTTGTTCATGCCAGCAGCAAGAGTTTTAATATATCTATCCTTTACAAATTTTACAGAGAAGGGATTATACTTTCTATACTGTTCTTCACCCTGCTTTTTTCATTATACTTAGAAGCTTTCCATTTTAGCCAATACAGTTGTTTTTCTAATTGCTTCTTAAATAGTATTTTATGGGGGACCCACAATTGGTCTTTTTGGGTTGCTTCCAAATTTTTTCTAACAGTGATGCAGTGAGCATTGTTGTACATGGAATGTCATCTGCATTTACAAGTATATCTGTGGCATAATTTCCTGGCAGTGGAGTTACTGAGTCAAAAGTTATGTGCGTCCGACTTTGTAAAAATGACATTGCCAGATGCCCTGCATGAAAGTTGAGTTCGTTTATGTTTTTACCAACAGAATATCAGCATGCCCGTTTTCGCCACCTTCACCTCCATTGGATATTATGATGTTTCACTTAACAAGTAATTCACAGAGACATATTTCCTTTCCTTACAGTCTGGAGCAAAAGCACACCACCTGCTCCAGATAATGGTACTGCAGCTTGGGGTGAGCCAAGTGAAAGCACTCCTGGGTGGGGCGAAATGGATGATACAGGAGCAGCGACCACAGGCTGGGGGAACGCACCCACCAACGCTCCCAATGCCATGAAACCTAGTAAGCATGCGGCACTCGTATTTGTGAGAGATTCTTTGTTAATTTGAGAATCAGACATTTTGGTGAGAGCTGGTTAGCAACGTTTAAACTGTTGATTCAGTGAGATTCAAGACCTTGAATGTTAAATAAATAAAAAATAGCAGATGGTGGTGACTTGGCTTGGCATATGTTAACATGTTTACAGTGAACTAAAAATTATAAACTGGGCACTGTGGTGTATGTGCCTGTAGTCCCAGCTACTTTGGAGGCTGAAGCTAGAGGATCCCTTGAGCTCAGGAGTTCAAGTCCAGCCAGGGCAACATAACAAGACCCATCTCTTATTTAAAAAAAAAAAAAAAAAAAGTCACAAGCTAATTTTGTTGATTTTGTTTTAAGTTAGGTTTAGTATTTAGACAGAATTGTAATTTTGATATTATTTCTTTTTTTTTTTACTCCTGTAAGTTAAATATGCTCATCATGTCTAATGTGCATTTCTGCTCCTTTGTCAGTATAATTTAAAATAAGAGTTCTCTGGCTTTTAAGATGGAACATGTTCTCTGCTGCCCAGTGACTTCATCCTTCCATTCCTTTGTTTTGCCTTTGTCTCTCTTCTCTTACATCCACCCACATAAGAGCTTTTCAGGTTTCTTGAAGCTGACAAAGATTCATTTCAAATTTTTTTTTAATTTTTTGTTTTGTTTTGTTTTGAGACAGAGTCTCATTTTGTTGTCCAGGCTAGAGTGAGTGCCATGGCATCAGCCTAGCTCACAGCAACCTCAGTCTCCTGGGCTCAAGCAATCCTCCTGCTTCAGCCTCCCAAGTAGCTGGGACCACAGGCATGTGCCACCATGCCCGGCTAATTTTTTATATATATATGTTTTTTATTTTTTTTTTATTTTTTTTTTTTATTTTTTTATTTTTTTACATGGTGAGCCTTTGGGAAAATATGTTTTTTAGTTGGTCAATTAATTTCTTTCCATTTTTAGTAGAGACGGGGTCTCGCTCAGGCTGGTTTCAAACTCCTGACCTCGAGCAATCTGCCCTCCTCGGCCTCCCAGAGTGCTAGGATTACAGGCGTGAGCCACCATGCCTGGCCTCATTTCAATTTTTTAAACAAAAAAATGCCATACTTACTCATAACCATTGAAAATCTAAGCTGTACATGATACAGCTGGCAATGTGTAGTCACAGTAATTTGCAAAACTTGGTAGTCTGATGCAGTGAAATGTCTCATTGGATGTTCCTAGATTGAAAAATTAAATTTAAAATGCCCATTTCCACTAGTTTCTAACTTTCTTAAATATGTCCATCATCTCTTTTCTACTAAATAGCAGATTTAAGGGACTATCTTTTGATTAAATAATGGAATTTTATGGAATACTCAAAATTTGAACAAGAAAAAAAATTCTGTTCAGTTTGATATTTAGAACTTTTACAGTGCCACTTCAATGAATGATATTGTAGAAATTCACACTCATGTGTACATTATCACTTGACTGCATTTTTAAAATCTCCCCTACTTCATAGAAATAGGTTTGTAAAGATTTTATTTCCATCATGGTTTTCATTATGGAATCAGTTGTGTCATCATGGGAACCATCGTCTAGTAGACTTGAAATAGATCTAAAGTGCTGTTGGAAGACATTAACCAGAACCTTGGCCCAAAGAGGTGTTTAGCAGTACCTTCAGGATCTTTGTGTGTCTTTCCCAACCTCAGGATCACGTATCTTCCATCACAAAACCCTCACTGCTCTCCAGATTCTAAAAATGTCTTTTAGTCTTTAGGATCATCTGTGGTTATAGCTCATGTCCTTTCTCTGGGTAATTGGACCCTATAGTTTACAGAGGGAGGGGCTAGCTCATCACAGCCTACCAGATGATGCTGGTAGTTACCCTGTGATCTTATCTAGCCTGCAAATGTCTTAAAATTTTATGTTATGAATCTATGATTAAAAATTAGAGCTTATCTTTTCTGTAAGAAACATTTGTTAAAAGTTTAGCTCCTGGGGGGGGGGGCGGTGACTCACACCTGTAATCCTGTCATTCTGGGAGGCTGGGCGGGTGGATCACTCAAGGTCAGGAGTTTGAAACCAGCCTGAGCAAGAGCAAGACCCCGTCTCTACTATAAATAGAAAGAAATTAATTGGACAACTAATATATATAGAAAAAAATTAGCCGGGCATGGTGGCGCATGCCTATAGTCCCAGTTACTCAGGAGGCTGAGGCAGTAGGATCGCTGGAGCCCAGGAGATTGAGGTTGCTGTGAGCTAGGCTGACGCCATGGCACTCACTCTAGCCTGGGCAACAAAGCGAGACTCTGTCTCAAAAAAAAAAAAAAAGTCTTGTCATTTGGAACAGTGAAGGAGTGGATGGAAATTTCTAGGCAAGAGAATGTATTTCCTTTCTTTGATCATTTTATACAGTGTCATTACTGCGACATTTGTATTTTGATTCTATACAATATTTTCAAAGGGAAATTAAGGACTTATTCCAATCTTCATATTAAAGATCTTTGTTTAGAAGGGGATATTGGTAGAATAAGCTATAGATGCTGACATCCTACTTCCTCAAACATTAAAGCCTGTTCTTTGATTTCTTTCTGTTTTCCTTCCTCTCTTTCTTTTTAATTTAATACATTTTTAGTTGGTCAATTAATTTCTTTCTATTTTTAGTAGAAACGGGGTCTTTCTCAGGCTGGTTTCGAACTCCTGACCTCGAGCAATCCGCCGCCTTGGCCTCCTAGAGTGCTAGGATTACAGGCGTGAGCCACCGTGCCTGGCCCTTCCTCTTTTTCTATATCCTCCACATTTCTTCCTCCTGACTTTTCAAAACCACTTCATACACATCATCTTTGTCTAGGATTGCTTTAGTTTAGTATCTGATAAATTTCAAATTTCGTGACTATATGTGAATTTCTCTTCTTTCACCATAATTTTGATACTCAAAATCTTATAAAGTTTCCTTTTTTCTTCCCGTTTTCATGTCCTTTTTTTGTCTTCACTGCAAGCAGACAGTTGTCCTTTGTTACGCCTCATATTTGTATTGTCTGTGGCGTGTAAAGTACATTATGTTTAGAAGAGTAACTTTAGGACTCCGGTAAATCATGCTCATTGAGAGGAACAGATATCCTTTAATTGAGATGTGAAATTTCTTGTCATGAAAGTAATGATAATTTCTTTCAATTTTGAAATTCCTATCAATTTGATGCAAGGGAAAAATCATTGATCCAGAAGTCAGAAGGTCTTGATTCTCTAGTTTGTTAACTTACTGAGTAACATTGAAACTTTACCAGTTTCAGTTTCCTGCTTTCTAAAATATGAATAGTAGTATTTGCTTTGCCATGTAGACGGAGTAGATAATATTACAAAGATACCAAAATGCTGCGCCTGCAAGGAATTATTATTCTGGTTATTGTTATATATAGCTGTTGCAAAAAGTTGATTCATTCTTTCCTTAAAGATTCCAAATCTATGCAAGACGGCTGGGGGGAGAGTGATGGGCCAGTCACAGGAACTCGCCATCCCAGCTGGGAAGAGGAGGATGACGGAGGAGTCTGGAACACCGCCGGCTCTCAGGGAAGTGCTTCCTCCCACAACTCAGCAAGCTGGGGACAAGGAGGGAAGAAACAAATGAAGGTACCGCACTTTAGAAATGTTTCCACTTGCTTGTTCGTTCTTAGAAGGCAAAACAGAGAAATTTTTATTGGAAGTTGTGAGGCAGCTGGGAGTATTCAAGGTCCTAAGTAAGGGGGGAAAATACTTTCCTACAAACAAATTATGATTTCCCTTTTACCCGTCATCTTCCTTTCCCATGACCTTGAAACCTTGAACTACAGAACTGTTGCTGTGGGTAAAATGAAATTTTCAAAGAATGAGATACTTTTCATTTTTAGTTTCCACATTATATCAATAATAATTCGTTGGAGGCTCTCGGGGCATACTTTGTATTCATAAATGCTTTATGCTTTCGCATTCTAAAGCCAAAGAAGTCCTAAGAGTAAATCCCCATGAGTATGCAGAAGGGAAACTAAAGGAAGATAATACTGGCTTCTCCAGTAGCAGTCAGCATGTCTTGATTTTATCTGATTTGGGAGAGTCCAAGGCCCAGAACCCTTTCACTAACAAAATGAAGTACCAGTGTGTAACCCAGCTACAGCAACTAGACGATCTGTCTGCATCCCATACCATTGCAGTGCCCCACACGCTGGGCTGCAGAGCTCCACTGCCGCCCTACCCACCCCCATCCATCCATGAAACCAGTCCCTGGTGCCAGAAAGGTTAGGGACTGCTGCTATACCAGATTGTGTTCTAAACTTTTCGTTTTCCATATCTTATAACAACTTGTTTCTCCTTGGGTTTGCATGATTTGATGAGAACTTTGGTTTTTAATCTAGAACAGTAGTCTTTGAATCTGAACCACTGTCTTGGCAGAAGCTCTTTTTTCTCCTCTTTGCTTCATTCCACACATAAAATGGTGGCAATAAATGGGCATCCATTGCTTAATTTCAACCTGAGAGCCTTATTGCCCTGTCAAATCCTTCACGACTAATATTCTCCTGTGTTTCAAATACCAGGTGCCGTCTTAGAACGCCTTCCAGTGGCTAAGGATTGGGCCTTTATTCCTTTTGCTGCCTATTGGATATTAATTCTAGTGAATACCCTAACTTTCTTTTATAACATAAGAATACAGTTCGTTTCTATTAGAGACATTTTGTTTAAGCAGTCATTCATAGTTTTCCCTCTTTTGAGGACTTTTATTTTCTTACTCTAGTCACAGAAGGAATTATTCAGCAAAATTTTCAGCATTCTTTGTACTGTTATGTTGTCTAGTCTGCCTTTGGCTTTCTTCTAGTTATTCACAAATTAACAGTGACACCAAATTAACTGAGTAAAGGTGCTACTAAATACCCCATTCAGGTGACAACTAAAATTTAATTAATTGGGAATCGAATGTTTCAGCTCCAGCATCAATGATTCTGACTTTTCCCACTGTGGCCCTTTTTTTTAAAAATTGTGATGAAATGCACATAACATAAAATTTAGCATCTTAGCCATTTTTAAGCATATAGTTCAGTGGCATTAAGTACGTTCACGTTTTTGTGCTACCATCACCACTATCCATCCACAGAACTCTTCATCTTGCAAAACAGAAACTCTGTACCAATTAAACAGTAACTCCCCCATTCCCCCATTAAGGACTTTTTGGCCTTAAAACCTATAACTCAAGTTAAGTACCTCATCGCTTTCAAGAGTGATAAAATTGACATGATGGATATTATCATGGCACACAGAATGTCAACTTCTGGAATGCACACGTGCACAAAGCCCCAGCATCCTCTACCCCACCAAATCCTTGTCATAATTCACAGAAGTGAAAGTGGAGCCCATGGTTGGTGCCTTAGTCCAGGGAGAAACTAAATTGTCCCATTAAAAAGCAAAAACCCACCTCTGCCTTACTTTGCCCAGGGCATTAGTGGTAGTGTCTTCCACTGGGCCTCTTTCCTACTGGGAACCCATGTCCTTTGTGCTATGAAGCAGGCAGATGAAGTGCTACACGGTCGTTCCTTGTAACACCCAGTTTAAATAGGCTCCTTTCCAAATAACTTGAACTGGCATCAAACTCTCTTTCTTCCTCATGCAAACCAGCTCGGGTTACTAAGAGAGCAGCTGCTGAAAGTGACAGTAGTAGCCTGCAAAAATTTTATTTGAGAAAATCTGGTACTGACTTCTGTTTAAAAAGTAAAAGCACCAGCCGACCACATACTTTTAAGAATGAAAATGTAGATATAAACCCATGCTTATTAATTATTTAAACTAACAGATAAAATATCAAAGTAATTGTAGAAATAGGGTTCATAAAGATAAACTCTCGCTTCTACATTTTCAGTCTGTACTTCTGTAACGCAGGAGATTGAAATAAATTATTTGGTTCTGAGGTTACGTATTTCATTTCTGTAGTGCTCACTAAAAGGAGGAAACAATGATTCATGGATGAATCCTCTTGCCAAACAGTTTTCAAATATGGGATTGCTGGTAAGTTTTGGTTTTTTTTTATATGTATAATATATCCCAACTTTAAGGTTTAGTACAAATTTTAAGACCACTGCCATGTACAGTACAAAACTACAGATTTAGAAACTGATCAAACAATATTCTTGATCTTCTGGATTAAGCAATGTTTGTTTTCTCTTATTCATAATGACATACTCCAACATGTAAAGGTTATGGCTTTTAAATTTGTAGTCTTTGTGTCCTTTTCTTCTGGAGGGTGGGGAAGAAAGAGTCAGGCACTTTAAATTTATGAAGATTTCCCTGACTATAGTACTGTACTAGTTTTCATATTATAAGTTTTTAAAAGGCAACAACAACAAAATAACTAGAAAAACTATATTAAGACTACTTAGGGAATTCTTATAGAATTTCTAATTTCCTTATCTCTTGGGAACATTGTGGGGACGCCCTGTCCCTGGTTGCCAAAAGACAAATGACATGACTTGGCTGCACATTTGAAGATTTGATGACTTGACAAGTCACAAGAAGAAGTTGTCATTATTTGGCTCCCACTCATGGAATTTGATCCTGGGCTGAGTGGAACTTGAGGACAGGGGTTTATTTCTTCAGTCAGTTGTTTAGCTATTGCTCTGTTCATAAATTTATTGAGGCTAACTGTGTGCAAAAAATCGAATTTTGGGAATATAGGCACCAGCAGGAATTAAACTATTGTATTAAAAATGTTAATATCTGCTGGGCGCTGTGGCTCACGCCTAATCCTAGCACTCTGGGAGGCCGAGATGGGAGGATTGCTTGAGCTCAGGAGTTCAAGACCAGCTTGAGCAAGAGCGAGACTCCGTCTCTACTAAAAATAGAAAAAATTAGCCAGGCATGGTGGCACATGCCTGTAGTCCCAGCTACCTGGAAGGCTGAGGCAAGAGGATCGCTTGAGCCCAGGAGTTTGAGGTTGCTGTGAGCGAGGCTGATGCCATGGCACTTAAGCACAGGCAAGAGAGTGAGACTCTGCCTCAAAAACAAAACAAAACAAAATTTAAAAAATTAAAAAAAATGTTAATATCTTCATTGCAGTTTAAAGTTCATTTCAGAGGACCTTGTGTAGTACCAGTGGTAAGATGTGGCTCTCACATGACTAATGCCACTTCTCTGATTCAAATATGTACATCCTTAATTCTCTCTCACCTGTTCTTTATTTTTCAGAGTCAAACTGAAGATAATCCAAGCAGCAAAATGGATTTGTCTGTAGGTGTGTATCATTCCACTGATAGGAGTGGAATATATTGGTGTTAATGGTATCCTACTGGGCTCTTCTGCCCAATTTAAGTTGGGATGGGTACAATTCAATAGACATTTATTGAACACTTACTCTTTGTAAGGTACAGTGCTAGACACTAGGTAGGGGTTGAAAACTCAAATGACTGCAAGAATCAGGAAAGAATGTGAACGAGTGATGTGTCCCAGGTATAAGAAATTACGATGAAGAGGGGCTGGTTAACTGTGGAGAAGTGTGTAACCCCTTAAAGAATCGGCCTCGCTTGACTTCTAGTGGTTGTTGCTGCGGAGGAGTGTGCCGCAGCTGGGCCAAGTCTTCTAGTTTTTCAAGAGAGGCCAGACATTCAGATATATATTGACATACTAATTTTTAAATACTGGAAACAAAATCAGATCTTTTAAAATGCTGTTTGGGGCCAAACAAAATATGTCCATGACCCTACCAGACTTGACCCTTAGGTTGCCAGTCATGTCTGCACCAGAATATTTCATAATTGACAAACTCTCCCATTGCATCTGGACAGGTACAGAGTCAGCCATTAGTCTGAGGGATTGTCATAGTCATGCTCGCTGGTGGTCAACCAAAGGAACTTAAAAAGAATCAAACTGCGAAAGAAAGAAACAACCCTGGGTAGTAAGGGAAATAGGTAATCTTAGATCTGTGATATTTTTTAATATGAAAGTAGTTAAAACATAAGCTTCCTGGGCATAGATGATGTCAGTTTACAAAACTGTGAAAGGAAAGTGGGTATAGTCATTGTACCTGGGAAAAATACATCATGCAGGAATTGTGGACACGTCTTCTGTGTTCAGTTCTTAAGTTCTAAATTTTAAGGCAATAGCTGTGCCTCTTTGATCTTTTTATTCCCATAACTATGTTTTACAACCCTGATCATTTATCTAGCAGATGCAAAAATAGACAACTTCTCTCATGCAGGACATTTGAATTTATGAGCAAGATGTGTTCATTAAATACAACAATAACCAATCTAAATATAATATGTTCTTAGCCAGATTTTTGCCAGGTTAGCCCTAAGGCTCACTTTCAGTCTTCCAAGGAAAGCAGGCTACAACAAATTTTGTTTGGTTTTTAACAAAGGGCCCATGTATGTTCCAAGGACCAACACTAGTAGCCTGAACCAATGAGAACTCTTCTGGTTTTATCCCTAGAAAGTTGAAAGAGCTTGTATCTAGCACCCCAGGAAAGACAGTGGAGCAAGTCACTTCTGGTTCATGAGGGAGACATTGAATCTAGAAATTTTCACTTTATTTATGCTCCTTTTCAGGAAGCCTTTCAGATAAAAAATTTGATGTGGACAAGCGAGCAATGAATCTCGGGGATTTTAATGATATCATGAGGAAGGATCGATCTGGGTTCCGTCCACCTAATTCCAAAGACATGGGAACCACAGATAGTGGGCCTTATTTTGAGAAGGTGAGTTGAATCTTTTGTTTAAGATAATAATTCACAAGAACCACTTTGGTTCCCATTTGTCTTTTGATAACTAATTTTGGAGGAAGCATAGAATTACTCAATTGAGCAAAACACAAACATCACCTGCATTAAAGTGGTGACATGAAAACAGTTGATGTCAATAGGTGATTAGGAGCTAGAACCATCTGTCTTTAACATGTGAGTATTGTGAAGAAAGCCTGAGTTGTGAAAAATTCATGAAGTTTGGAGATTTTAGAGCTAAATTATCCTGAATTCTTTTTCTTTTGCTATTGTGCAGCTACAAAATAGATTTTGGGATTTGGTATAAATGTACCCCGTGTCTCCTAAGCCCTTTACCTTCTAGTTTTGAGAAGCTCTTTTGTTATCTTTCCCCATTTCTCTGGTGATCTGTGTTTAGTAACAATGTTACAATTTTCAAATTCTCAACTACCTGATTTAACCAAGTAATTTATACTATTGGCTTAGATTTTTAACATTTCTAATGGAGATTATTCTTTGATTCAGAATGACGATTTGCAGTGTTCCTGATCTTCAGAAAGCAGTTACAACCAAAATTTTTAGATGTGGCACATTTTGACACCACTGGTGCTGGTCTGGACAGCAGCATATTCACAAGCAATTGCCCTTGGCTTCTATTTCAGCAGCCACATAGAGTAATGAATAGTAGATGCGCAAAAATAAAGCATCTGGCAATTTTTATCTTAGTGCAATAGAGAGAATGTGTTACTAACTCAGAGGATAAGAAAAATCTCAAAGAGGATGGCAGACGGTGTCTGTTGGGCAGAATATGATGATGATGATTATCAGATCCAAGTCCATCCTCAGTTATTGCTAATACACTCTAACTTTGTTTATTGCTAGTGTTTCTCTCTTTTCCCTTCTTGCATTCTGTTGCTTCACTAACCAACACTCGTTGTGATTGGCTAACTCCTACTACTTTTCAGCTGACTTTGCCTTTCTCCAATCAAGATGGGTGCCTTGGGGATGAGGCTCCCTGCTCTCCCTTCTCCCCTTCTCCCAGCTACAAGCTGTCTCCCTCTGGTTCCACACTACCCAACGTCAGCCTTGGAGCAATCGGCACAGGGCTCAACCCCCAAAACTTCGCTGCTAGACAAGTAAGGAGGCCTCTCAAATTTATAACTGCTTGATTGTGGCCTCGCCTTGGCCCTGGTCTGCAGTTTATTGCATCATTTGTCTGTCTTGGGAAATTTGTTGATTACTGAATGCACAGAATGATATTAAGTGTAGGTTTTAGATCTTTCAGCCCATAGAACCCATCTCTCGTCATGTTTCTCAACATGGATTTTATTTTAAACCTGTTTCTTTTGTCTTCTCATTTTTGGTCATAAGTTCGCATTTAATAAGCTAACTAATAACTGACTTAGGAAAATGCTAAAGAGCCTACCTAAGTACCTTATATAATCTAATTTAGCAATACATACGCCATTTTCAGCATAAGATTGAATGCTAAGTAATACGTTGGAGGTCTTTCCAATTTAATAAACCTGCTAATTCAAACACAGATATCCCAGCTACTCAGAAGGCTGAGGTGGGAGGATTGCTTGAGTCCAAGAGTTTGAGGCTGCAATTAGTTGTGTAGCTGTAATTGTGCCAGTGTACTTCGGCCTGGGCGACAGAACAAGACATCATCTAAAAAGAAAAATAAAAAACAAAAATAGTAGCAAAATCATTACGATTAAGTATAATATTTGAGGGTTACAACATCTTGAAATCTAGTGTCTTAAAGTTTAAAATATAGTAATTACCTAGAGAAGGGTAACTCTAATAGTAGATAACAGAACATTAAGAAGAGTGGATGTTGCTCAGACATGGCAGTGTTTCGTTGGCCCTGGGGTTGAATCTGGCAGTCCTCCGAGGAAGGCAGTGCAATCAAAGCAAAACAGGCCGAGCTGGTAGGACGATGCCTCCATACATTCACAGGCCTGAGGACACACAGCAGGGCTCCGCCTGCCACCTCACAGTGGCTCTGTTGTAGTTTTTTTGGAGACAACCGGGAATTTGAGTCCTTTGCAACAATAAGTCCAGCAGTGATATTTTCCTAGCCATAGTTCTGTGACCACTTGTTACTGTGACCTTCACTGTAGGACGTCATGGGAGGACATTAATTATACAGCTTATATTTATCCCATTCCGTGCCCACGTGATGAGTTTCCCATGTGCGTCACAGGATGACGTAAAGCAGCACCTCTTACGCTGTAGTCAGGTTGCACGTAGGCCTTTCATGTGCTTTCTGCTTGTTGCCTTAGCAGATTTTAAACAACGTATAATATTTTATCGCTGTGTTCAGACTGGTTATCTCTGGATTGGGAGTTATAGCTCATTTTTTGTTTTCTTCCCTTATATTTCACTTTTTGTCTTAATGCTTCCTTAGAGGACATGGATATTTATTGCTTATATAAACAGAGAAGAAACACTTATATCTATGTTTTGGGGGCTCTTTTGTTTTGAGTTGAGGTATAAAAATATAAAACATTCATAACACTTACAGTTAATGGTGATTATAAATGCAGTTCCAAGATACCATGATCATCAAAAGCTATTAGTACATAAACTTGAGTATAATAATGAGCCAAACTAGCTGGGCATTGGACTCTACAAAAGGTTGTTCTTTGTTTTCTTGATCTGTGGATTGCTACAAAGTCCATTGTTAGCCAGGTTAGTGCATATATTCTATCCAAATATGGTCGTGATTTTTAAGACTGTTTTTATAATAGAGTTAATTTAATATACTTCATAATTAATAAAATTTAAGATTTTTATTTTCCAAATCACAGAAGATTTTAATCAGCTTGATAAAATTATTCTTCATTTGCATACTATTCTGTGTTAAACACTAGTTGAGGCAAATATCAGCAATAACTATGAGGGCTTGGTCATTGTAAAAGCTTCATATATAACAAGTAAATCTTTAGCAATAACCAGATAAACTAGTGTTAGGATATATACTAGCTTTTGATTACCATTTTCCTAAGTTCTAAATATTTTTTTAAATGCCAGATCTGTATGATTGCCCCCAAATACATCACTGTGCAAAACAGCTGTATCCAGGCCAAGAAAATGAGCAGCTCGAGATGCCAAGGTTCCATATTAAGATACAGAGAAGGCATTTTTTGATCAACTGCTATTGACTTATCTACACTGTTAGCAATTTCAGATATATCAAAGTACTCTGTACAGCTTTAGAGACACCTGATAATGAAAAGCCTAAAACCCTTGGCAGGGAGGGTGGAATTTTTGTCTACTGTGAAGAGGAAAGTAGGGCTTGATTTTACAAAAATTTAAAAAAGCAAATTCTCTTTAATGCTTGTTATTAAAGGATAGATTGAAATTAAAAAGTGTCCTCATAAGGCAGTTTTGTATTTTGCCAAAACATACATTCTGTCAAGGACTTTAGCTACCAGCAACCCCACCATCCAAGGACGGGTCATGAATAATTGACTTCTAATGACAAGGTCATTACTTTGATGGTAAATTGTAAGTGAGAAAGATCTAAGCAGAATATTCTTGATGAAATAAACGTTTCCTCTTTTATTGAGGATAATCTGTAACCAAGCTACAAATTGCCACTCTCTGAGAGAACTTAGAGCCGAGCCATTTCCCCTAGAGTGACAGTGTGATTAGTAAGACAGAAGAAGTAGCAATGTTTGAGTTTCTAGAATTAAAGGTCTTCTGGTGTTTAAACAACCCTTTGGGAGACATAAAATTCATGACAGATCTTTAATTTTCTTTTATGAGATACACAGGTTTTAATTGCCATTTCTACTTTATGTTTATAATCATTTTTATTTATTATGCTTTTAAGTTCATTAATTCCCTGTAGCAGTCCCTTAATCTGTTTTTGAATCATTAAGCCATCTAGTATTACCTACCATTAAGTATTCTAGAACTTAATGATGCCATTACAAAATTCTTCATTTAAAATTACCTTAATTCCTGTGATTCCAGGGATGAGATGATGGTGGTGACTTCAAATTAGAGTATACATAGTTGGTATAAGCAGTGGTGCAGCTGTCTTTGCTGGAGGTGTTCAGTGGGACATTTTCAAGTGTATGGAATTGGTGGGACATGGATGTTTGCAAATGATGCCCTCATCCTACAGACCAGAGCTTTATTGAGTCCTGAGAATGCATAGAGGGAAGGATTAAGCTGATGATAGAAAGACAGAATGGAAAATATCCAGAATGTGGTTTGATGATGTGTGTCATCAAAGAGTTTTAAAGTATTTGAGAACAAACAGGTATGCTCAGTTAATTTGAATTGAAATAAGGAAGAAGGTTTTGGGGAAGACCCTTGATGAGGATGACTCCGAGCTGAGCCTTGAAGAAGCCAAGTGAAGATGGTGTAGAAAAGAACCTCAGGCAGAGGGGACAGTGTCAAGTTACCAAATACAGTTTCCATGCTGAAGGACTTTCCCGAGCTAGAAGCAAGTCAGAAAGGAAGGCTACCATATGACCCAGCTTTCCAAGGCTCTCGCTGGAACACTGTCAAAGTGCTCCAGTGCGTTGGTCCTCCAGAAATCAGGGAGTTAAGCTTATTTTTAACTAGACTGATATTCATGTGTTTGAATGAGAAGTTACAGGTGAGTAAAACTTGTTTTGGTATCCCTGTAATGATTTTTACTTTTTCCCTTTCTTCTTTGTTTATCTCACTATGTGACTGATCCACATTTCCTCATCTAGCAAAGACAGGGTCAAGCAGATCCAGGAGAAAGAAGGGTGTTCAGATCTGGAGTAGGGTCCTCATGACGCTAGGCTTGTCTTTGGTGGCAGTGATTTTGTGATTAACCAGTTTGGAGAAGTAATAATCGTGGTGTTGTTTTACATCTGATAATTATGCATAAGCCTGAATTTTTACTCAAGTGCCTTTCAGAATGGATCTCAGAGTATAAAGCTTGAGAAGGAATTTGGTAAACCCAGTCTCAGAGAATAGTTGAAATATATGTTATATTGCCTTTACCTTTCAATCACAGAAAAGAAGGTAGAACTGCTTCTGACATTTGACTAAATTTAACCCTTTCATTATAGTTTATAGAGTTCATCAGACTGCGCAGGTGGTGGTGAGATACCCATGATTCTGTTTAAGTAATTGCCCTAAGCTTTCCAAAATGAGGAACTTCTCAGTTGTAAAGTTCCATGTGAACCCATGGAACACAGTATATGATTCTTCTGAGGGATAGAAAACCAGAACTGTTTCTTACTTGCATTTTCTTATGTTAACAAAAAGCCTTACCGTTGCTCTTGTGTTTACAGGGTGGTAATCATGGTTTGTTTGGAAATAGCACAGCACAATCGAGAGGTCTGCACACACCAGTGCAGCCACTAAATTCTTCTCCTAGTCTCCGGGCACAAGTGCCTCCCCAGTTTATTTCCCCCCAGGTAAGCGATTTTGTGTTCCCATGATTTAAAATTAAAGACCATTCAGGAGGTTACCAGTTGTTAACTGATTGATTTTTGTGGGCATGAAAGAAATAAAAGTTGCTGGTTTAAAATATGAAAAATCCATTGTTTCTTAGTCTTTTGGCTACAGTCAAGTTTAGTAAAATATGGAATATCCACCTACCAAAGATCAAGATTTTTAGAACAAAATGTCAAATCTCATGTTTTATTACCTAGTACATACTAACAAAGTAGATGTTTCTGCATGAAAAACATGTGCATATTTCATTTAGATCTAATTATTTTTCTAATACTACATTAATATTTAAGATTACATATAATTAAAACTACTTTATAAATTGTGACTTATCAACATTCAGAGATTGGTTGCCCTTGAGGATTCGCCCACAGATAAACAAGAGAAATTGGGGATTCTTGGTTATTCTGAAAAATTTTGAGATGCTGTCCGCTAACTGACCGGATGCTCTAGGGGGAGAATTAATTAAGTAGCAGAGACTTCTGGACTAAAATCTCATTTGTAGAAAAGCTGTGTGTAGGCTATAGTCCAGTGGGTACCATGGGAACCCTTTAAGGCTTGTGCAGTGAGTTGTTTTGTCTTTGTTCTTGTTGTGTTTTTATTGGTGGCATGGGGTAAAGGCCACACACATTCCGTCATAACTCTTTGTAACAAAATGGGTCTGAGGAGCAGATAAAAGCTGAGAAGCCCAAGTAAGGATTCAGTGTGTGACCTTTGGTCTCCTTAGAATGTGACTTTAATAAACTAAGGTCAAGAACTTTGAGTCCATCTCATTTTATAAAAGAGGGTGAGAGTACTACTATATCCAACCAATGTGTTATGAAGGGTCAGTTTTTTGCTTTTTTGAAATTTCTTTTAAGACAAGGGCTTAAAATAATTATTTGAAATAGATTTCAAATCGTGTTTCTAACATTCTGAGTCTGTATCTTAGTAGAGGAGGAAATTGTCGCCCACACCAATCCCTTCCAGCTGCCCTCATAAGGTCTGGCCGGGAGTTGGGACTCTGTTCCCCTTAGTGTCTCTCTTCTTCTTTCCTTTAAGTTCCAGTCATCCTTTAAGCCCCAGGTGGTGGGTCCTCTAGACAGAGACATTTCTGACTTCCCTAGCACTCCACAATGGTAGCAGAATCTCGCTCTGTCGCTGGGACCAGAATACAGTGGTGTCATCATAGCTCACTGTGACCCCAAATTCCTGGTCTCAAGTGATCCTCCTGCATCAGGCTTCCAAGTAGCTGGGACTGCAGGTGCAGACCACTGAGCCCAGCTAATTTTTCTATTTTTTGTAGAGATAGGATCTCGCTGTGTTGCCCAGGCTGGTCTCGAACTCCTTGTCCCAAGTAATCCTGCCTCGGCCTCCCAAAGTGCCGAGATCACAGTCGTGAGCTATTGTGCCTGGTCAATAATGCAGTATCTTAAGTCTTGGAGCACTTTTTAGTATCCCTTGGTATCAGGCTGGCAGTCATCCGTGGTTATCGAAGGTCTGTAGTGTGCTAGATAATGTCCTGGCGATGCACAGTTGAAGAAAACGCCATCTGTCCCTTCACAGCCTCTTGGGGTTGGTGGCAGAGGGGCAGGTGAGGAGGAGGTGATAGCAGAATAGATAGCAGATAGTGTGACAAATGGTTGTATAGAGACATTTAACAGAATTTGGGGAATTGGGTAAGGCTTCTTACTAGCAGTAACATTTAAACTGGATCTTGAAGAATGAGTCAGGAGTTTTTTGGGTGTGGCGGATTAAAGGTGCCCTCTAAGCAGCAGTAGCCTCATGGGTAAGGGGCACTAATATCTACGAGAACATGGCATGTTTGGGGAGATGCAATTTGAAGAAATAGTCTGAGCTTGTTGAAGTGTGTGTGCGCATACACATGCATGCCCATCTGGAATGAAATAGGGAAAAAGTGAGATAGGAAGTTGGAGGCCAAATTTGGACCTTATCTTACTCAGAAGATTGAGCTTTGTCCTGTAGGCCAGTCCTTGTCAGCATGGTTTATAACCAGTCTCTGGGCTACTACTTAAAGATACAGTTCCCAGGTCTTCCCCGATCTACTGATACAGAATCTTGGGCTTGGGGGCCTGGTCATCCCCAGGTGATTTTTATGTGCATTCTAAAGTTTGGCTATAGACACATAGTGTTAAATAAGATTTTTTAGCTGAGTGGTGATATAGGAAAATTTAAGGTTTACAAAGAAAGATAACACTGGTGGTAATATAGAGGACATGTTTGAATGGCAGAATTACTAAAGCAGAGGAGAGCAAGCGTAGGGCTAGTATTGGAGTCCGGGAAAGGTAGTGGCAGTGGGAATGGAAACCCTCTTGTAAAAGTTGCCTGTGATCTTTGTGCTGCAGAATACGATGGTCTGTTCTGCAGTCTGTGTCAGCAGCATTTGACACAGAGACCCACTCCTCCCATTTTGAAACACTTTATTCATTTGGCCTTGGAACACCTCCTGGATTGGTTCTGTGTCTGCCTCTTCATCTCCTTCACAAGTTCCTCCTCACCATCCCAACATCTAATCAGCACAGTGCCCCTGATCCCAGTCCTCGAACCTCTCCCCCTCACCTGTAGCCAGTGCCAGGTGATTTAGCTAGCAGAATGACTTTAAGTAGTAGATACCAAAATTGTGTCTTTAGCCCACATCTTTTTTCTCAACTGCACAGATTACTGGACATCTCTACTAGATCACAGGTTAACACATCCAAAACAGACCTTCTGATTCCACCCCACACTCCCCTCAAAAACATCCCCTTCCTCCAAGTAAGCGGCACTCCCGTTCTGCAAGTGTTCAGGCCAAAGACCTCGAGCCAGTCGTGTCTCTTCTCAGAGATCACGTTTATCCCATCAACAAATTCTCCCTTCAGAACTTTATCCAAAATCCAACCATTTCTTGTCACTTCCACTAACATGGTGCCTGGCCAAGCCACCACTTTTCTCTCGTAGATTATCTCAGTGATCTCCTGCCTGGTCCCTGCCCTATTTCATTCAATACTGCCTGTCTCAAGTCTGAGCCAGTCTGATCCTCTAACACTCATTGTCCAGTGTGGTAGCCAGTAGCCACATGAGCAATTGAAATATGCCCAGTGGACTGGGAGAACTAAATTTTTTATTTTATTTAATTTTAATTAGCTTACATTTAAATAACCACACCTAGTTAGTGGCCACCATACAGACAGTATAGCTATAGAACATTTTAGCATTGTCGAAAGTTCTGCATAGCTGTGCTCTAAAACAGAAGGTAGGTCATGTTATTAATACTACTTTGCCAGGAATCCCCTTGTGGCTCGCTCTCTTCCTGAGAATGCAAAGCAGAGAGTCCTTACTATGGTCTTTGAGTCTCTTGGTGATCTCCCTCCACCCCCATACATTCATGCTGCTCTAGCTAAATGGTCCCAGCACACCAGCCATACTCCCAGATGCTCCATCTTTATTTCCTTCAGCTCCCTGCTTCAGTGCCACCTTATCTGCACAGCTTTGGCAGCCCAGCCGTACACAGCGCAGCACCTGCCCTCCTCTACAAATTCATTTGTTCCTTGTCTTTCTCCTCCTCTGCCCCAGGAGTGTAATAAGCTTCACAGTGGCAGGGCCTGGGTCTGCTTTGTTTGTTGGCTGCTAGAGTATGAGCATCTACAACAGTGCAGAGGCTGGGCGCGGTGGCTCACACCCGTAATCCTAGCACTCTGGGAGGCCGAGGTGGGTGGATTACACGAGGTCAGGAGTTTGAAACCAGCCTGAGCAAGAGCAAGATCCCGTCTCTACTATAAATAGAAAGAAATTAATTGCCCAACTAATATATATATATAGAAAAAATTAGCTAGGCATGGTGGTACATGCCTGTAGTCCCAGCTCCTCGGGAGGCTGAGGCAGCAGGATTGCTTGAGCCCAGGAGTCTGAGGTTGCTGTGAGCTAGGCTGATGCCACGGCACTCACTCTAGCCTGGGCAACAAAGTAAGACTCTGTCTCAAAAAACAAAAAACTGTGCAGGGCATGTATTTTTCAGCTCAGTAACTGTATCGAGTCATGGAAACGTTCATATCAGAATGATTTTGAAAATGAAATTATCAGGAAAACATAGTTAACTTTGTCTAAGAGACTTGGATGCCACAGATCTATGACCAGAGTGTCTGCTCCACTTAAAAAACTGAAAGTACTTGTATTCCCTACATTTTTGAAATTTATTTAGAAAAACATTTAACATTTATTAATACATTTATTTAATACATAATGGATGCAGAACATTAAATAATAGTATTAATATTAAATAATTTATGTTAAATATAAATATTAAATGATCTTCCATCATTTCCTGACATTTCTATATTTTTAAAAAAACAAAATAGTTGGGTAGCTCTATTTAATAAAAATTTAAAAAGATAACCACCCTGAAAATTTGGATAGTGTAGAAAAAATTCTTTTAGAAACTCCCTACTCAGATACAATGATAATGGTTATTTTTACACAATCCTCTATTCAGACTTTTTTCTTGTACAGGCATGCTTTTCACATAATTGTATTCATTGTCACTAGAACCTGCTGTTTTTGTTAACATCATGTCCTAATATTTTCCCCTGTTCCTGTATAGTCTCCATGTTGATCATTCTTAACCCTTTGCACTCGGATGTTGAGTGTGACTCGACACGGTTAGCATCGGTAGCAGCAAGAGAAAAAAGCTAGCGAGTGCAAAGGGTTAATGATGTTTCATCAGACAGAGTTACCTTGATTTACTTGACGTTCCCTTCCTCCGTTATTAGGTATTAAATTGTTTCCAGTTTTTCACTGTTAAAAATAATGCCACAGAGAAGTCCTTATACCTAAATCTTTGCCCATATTATTTTTCAGTTTAGTTGCTCAAAATGAAATCTCTACATTCAAAGCACATGAACATTCCAAAAGGCTTTGATACATTTCATCAAATTTTACATCCATTCTGACCACATTATAGAGGCAGTCACTATTTAACGTAAACATA